AGGCATTGATGAGTCGTTTAAAGACAAATCAACTCGGGCTGGGCAGAACTGGGCTCGGTATCTCACGTGCTGACTGATGCTCGGTTGAAAATAAAATCAGACTTCGCCAAAATGAAATCCCAAGCCTTTGAATAGTGCTGGCACTTGGAAGTAACCAGGCTTGCTGAAAGCAGGGATTAAAATGCTGTCTTGCTTTCCTTTCTTTTGATAGGCATTTCACAGCTGTTCTGAAATGCTTGCCGAGTTTAGGGTTAAAATTTTAAAGTTATGCCACTGTAGAGCACAATGTCTGTGCAAATCCTCAGGAGGAGGCTCTGGGATTTACATCCAGCTCTGGGATTTACATCCAGCTCAGCACTGGGGCCGGGAACACCACCAGGTACCAAATTAATCCAGTGCAGCAGAAGGTTGGATCAGTGAAGGAAAACCCTTGAATCGATGCTGTCGTGCACCACAAACTCTTACTCATCCTCACCTAAATCTCCCCATCATTTTCTTCTTCCAGAAGGAACAGGAGTGAAGAATCAATATTCCTGCAATAACTATTGCTGCCAGACTATGATCTTTAGCCCCTGGAAAAGCTGAGAGTGAGCCTTGTATCCCGAGCAGAGCCTGATTTTAAGCTGGAGTTGCTCCATGGCCTTGCCTGTGGGATGCATTCCCAGAGGATCTGCCCGGGTTTGTCCCCAGGAGCCGTTAAGCAGCTCTGATGAAGAGAACAGATAGGAAAAAGCACTGCCCTGACAAAAGTGACAATTTGAAAGGGACTTCTGTGGAAAAGCAGATCAACAGAAAGAAACAATTCCAGCCTGGCATCAAGTGGAGTGGGAGTGAAGTAACGCCCGAGGGCAGGGAAGGGTGGCTCTGGAGAGGATTTTACAAGCCCGGCTTCTGAAATGCAAATCTCTTTTCTTGTAAAAGAAGACTCACGTTCACAAAGGCCTGAGAATCTGAGGGAAGGGTGGTGAGAGGCAGGAGGAATCCATTCCCTAAGGATCCGGGAAGGGTGGCAAGTGAAAGAAGTTCAGGGGAATAAGAGAGGAGAGTCTGTTTATTTTGTAGTCATGTTCACAAAGATAAAACGTTATCCTTTCTGGGAAACAAAGGGATTTATTGCCGAGACACCTGGGTGACGCTCAGATTCAGCATCTGCCTGCTCCTATATCTCCTTTTCCACTTAATCTCTGGCTTTACATGAGACTGTTCTACCTACAGCACAAGCAAGCAAGGATATACATCACATGCAGCAAGGAGCTAACACACATCACCAGCTCCAACAAGGACTTTATGGACCACAGCTTCCCAGGCAACCACTCACCCACATTTTTCCCCAATCCAAACCTAAAAATGCAGCTGAAAATTCAGCTGCCTCGTGTTTGTGATGGAAGATGTTGTCAGACAAAAACCTTCACCACAAAATATTAGCCTTGGGCTCAAGCACAAGGCTGCTGGTACGTAAAAGAGCACGTGATGCTCTTGCACGAGTTATTTTTCTCACTAAATAAGCAGCTAATGGTCTTGAAGAAATATTCTCCTGCCTCTTACAAGGCAAAGAATTGTTGGAAGGGCTGTTATAATCCAGCAGCCATCTTGGCATGAATTCCTGCCTGAGGTGGTGCTTGTGTACCTGACTTCAGCTGGAATTAAACACAGTATGGCACCCGATCCCCTCACCAAACAAAAGCCCTGTGTTGGGCAGACCCGAAGAAAGGAGGTAGGATCACATCTTGTGCCTGTTTTTTATGTGGACACAGGAAGTCTTAATCTGAAATATACCTTGAGGTAGAATCAAAGAATCCCA